ATACTGACAGCAGATTTTCACTTAAATTCGGTACTTGCAGAACATTTTCTACTCTCAAGATGTTCTTATTTCTATCAGTTTGCATTTTAATGTTACCAATAACAAATGATTTGATCATGGCCCATTTTTCAGCCGTCATTATTTTTCGTTCTTCATCTTTAAAATTAGTAAATATTTCTTTATTAGTTGCCATGTGAGATGTGGCTCCTGAATCAATAACCCATTTAATTTTTCTATTCTGTTGTTTATTTATTTTATACCTTCCATGATTTCTATCTTGATTAAGATATGAGGTTTCTATATTCTTAGATACTTCAAATAAGCATGTAGCTGATTCATATTCTCTTTCCTTGCTTGACATTCTATAAGTTTTATTTGTTACATTTCTCTGCTGTCGGTTTTCTTGTTTAGTTTTCATTTTACATTCAGTTGATTTGTGGCCGAATTTTTCCACAGCAAAGCACTTTATACTATTATTATTATTTCGACATTCTTTTATTAAATGTCCCAATTTTCCACAATTAAAGCATCTTCTTTCATATTTCAATTTTATCCAGTTTTCTTTTGCCTTAGAACTTACTGCTATTTCTTTTCCTCTTTGTTTATTTTTTCCTTCTGTTTCTTTTAAAGCTTGTCTAATTGAATTTATATCCTTCTCTTTATTGCTTTTAATAATTTTAACATCAAATTCCTAAGTCCTTCTAGTATGAAGTAAATTAATTCTTTATCTCTTATTTCATCTCCAACTTGAATACTTTTACTTTTCAGAATAACAGCTCTATTCATATAATCATCTACTGATTCTTTTGACTCATTTTCAGTTGAGCTAATTCTCTTCTGCATTTGATTTGAATATCTTCTGTTCTTGCCGCCATTTCATTTTTGATTTTCTCCCATAACTTCTTTGCATTCTTTTCATTCGCATATTTTAACGCTTGTGGAGCTGCCATAGTTTGATTCATTATATTTCTTGCTATCACGTTATTATCATCCCATATTTCCCAAGTTTTTATTTCATTTTCGAAATTAACATCATCCTTTTTATATGGTTTTGATGGTTCATCAGCTTCTATCACACTTCTCCATATCTTTAAACTTCTTAATTCACTTTCAACTCTGTTAGCCCAAATAAGATAATTATCGTCACTTAATTTTTCTATATGACTCAAATTTATCATATTACATGCCATATTTTCTAATTTATATTCACTAATTATAATACAAGTCTAATTTATCTCTTAGAGAAATTGGCTATTTTGTTAAGCCTAAACAACATCAATGTTCTATCTGAAAGTTTATTAACAGAGGCGGCAACCACGCTCTGCTACCAAATGTTGGTTATTTAAGATTAGCATATATATAACATTCTCAAAAGAATCATCCACTTCTAACAAAAATACATTATGGCAATATACAAAAAGAAAACTTTATTAAAGAAAATCAGACATAAGAAATCTTACCACATTCTACCAAACCATAATAATAAAAAAAACTCTCTCTTCCAGATACATTTTTTAACTCATTCTTTTTTACAATTTAATATCAATGTTGCCAAAATATTAAAACTTTAAATTATGCTTCATAAACAAATACTATCAATTTTCCCCCATGGGTTTTGATAATTACTTACGACAATGAATGGATCAAAAACAAGAAGAAAGGTAGCGGATGATATTAGGAAATTTTCAAATGTCTAGATTTTGAAATACTTTTTTGTGAAGCAAGATAAATACAGTTACATGCTTGATATGTAATTTTACGATGAGTGTTTGCAAGCAGTATAATGTTAAGCAACACTAAGACATGAAATACTCAACATTTCCAAAACCTGAGGCAGAGGATTGAAAACATAAAATCAAATCTCGCCATTCCCTCATTGCAGAGGAACGTATTTACAAAGGCATCTTCACAACTAGAAAACTATGTTGAGGTTAGTTTGGGTATTGCAACCTTAATTGCTTAAAGTGGTCGCCGATTTTCTAATGGGGATTTTGCAAAGAAGTGTATATTGTTGGTGTCAAGAAAGTATGCTCTGAAGTTTCAAAGAAATGTAAAAATGAGAGTCTCAGCAGAATGATGATTCAAATAATTGAAAATTTATCAGATGATGTTAATGAACAATTACAGATTGCTGCCATCGAATTTAAGTACTTTTATCTAGCAGCTGATGAGTCAATAAATATTACTTCAACAGCTCAGCTGCTTTTGTTTGTTAGATGAATTTCTGAAAACTTTGAAGTAACTGAAGAACTTGTTGGAATGAGTTCAATGAAGAGGCGAACAACTGGAGCTGATATTTTATCCTCCATTTTAAACTGTGTTCTGCGCATAATTTTGATACTATCACTTCTGATAGAGCTCCAGCCATGATTGGAATTCAGAAAGGCATGGTCAGTCTACTGAAAAACCATTTGGATGAATCGATGCTAAGATTTGCTTGATTATCAATCAAAAACAGCTGCGTGTGAAAGAACTTGCATTGGACCACATTGTTCATAACGTTGCTTAACATTAATGAAAGTAGTGAAAGATACGATCAATTGTATTCGCTCACATGGTTTAAACCACAGGCAAGTTAAGGAAATCCTAGAACACAGAGATGCACCCCATTGTGATCTCATATATTACTCTGAAGTAGGGTGGTTGTGCCATGTAGAGACTTTGAAAAGGTTTGCCGATTTGATTCATGAAATAATGCCATTCCTTGAAGAAAAAGGCAAGCAAACTAGGACGCAAGCAAACCATCTTTCAAGTGTGACTTAGCCTTTTTAGTTGATGTGACAGCGCATCTGAATGACCTAAAAAAATTGATAGGAAGAAACCAATTATCAGTCAACTGACTAACGCAATATCTGCTTTCAAACTAAAACTCCAGCTGTTCTCAAAGCAGCTTGGACCAAATTTTGTCAATTTTCTTTACCTGAAGAAACTCAATGAACATTTTCCTGATAAATAACTAGATTATTCAGATCCAATAAAGATACTGCTTACTTCATTAGAAAAACAATTTACAGATTTTGAGTTATATAAGGTTAAATTTAAACTGTTGAGGGATCCATTTTCTGTTTTAGTCAAGGAAGTTCCAGAAGATGTTCAAATGGAAACTTACTGATTTACACACTTCTGACTTATACAAATCCAGATTCCATGATTTAGATATTCTTGACTTTTATAAAACTCTACCAGCAAAATTTTTGCACTTAAAAAAAATATACAAGCGGATGTGCTACCATGTTTGGTAGTACTTTTGTATGCGAAAAACATTTTCTCCTATGCATCTAAGTAAGTCAAAATTATAAAACAAGCTGATAGATCAACACTTGCAATTTCCCTTAAGAATATCAGCAACTCGCTTACAACCAAATATGTCAGAAACTTTTGATAAAATTCAGTCTCAGCCATAACACTAATGTATTTAAATATTGCTAACTTGTTTACATTTTTATTAAAGTACTTATATTAAACTGTCATGCACAAACATAAAATGTAATTCCTCCCCCAAAGCTGAACTTGGTGTGTTGGCTACAGTACCACATACAAGGGGAAAGAAACAGGCCTTTCCTCTTTGCTTACATACATATGTAATGGTCTCCTAATCAGTTTAAATTTGATATGGTACATGCTTGACTTGCAAATTAAGAAACTTATTGCAGTGACCCCTAATATTTTTGGCTTATGCTATTGGCCCTCAGCAACAGTCTTTTCTGAAAGTGTCCCTTCTGCTACAATGATTGTACACCCCTCTGGTATAGAATATATGGCAGTCATTCTTGATGACTGGTTTATTTAATTATGGCAAAGTCTATATTAACACCATTAACACCAAGGAGACGGCCCCTGGCCTGGGAGATAGGATTCTCTCTTTCAAGGTTTAATAGAACCGCAACCTCAGGACTGATCTGGTAGGGCACCACCCCTCCCAATCGCTGCAGAGGGAAAACTTCCCTCACAGATTTTGTCGCCAGCGAAGGGACCGAAAGGAATGCTTTCGTGGAGTACTTTCTAAGGGAACTGGCTCGCATACAGGTTACAAAAGGGGAAGACCACAAAAACCGGCCATGCAGCCGGCCTGTTTGCTGAGATTCTAACCCTGGAGTGAACTACCAGTGTTCAGCAATTTTACCATTCAGCTACTGGGGAGTTCATTCTTGATAATATTCTAAATCTAATAAATCTGCAATATACATGATAACATTTTTTTAAAATTACTTTTTGAATTGTGTTTAAATGGCATAAATCAGTAAATGACACCAATGCATAGTCATGCACCAATTTAATTATATGATTCCACAGCCTCCACTCACAGTGTATTTATTAACATGAAATGCTATTAAATAAGAGAAAATATACATAAGGCTGTGCCTTGTTTTCTTTTGCTACTAACGGTTTTATAAATTTTGAGTTATCTGATTTTTATAACCTTATAAATCTGAATATTTAAAATTAGGCCATATTGTTTTCCCAGGAATATCACTTCATAAGATATTACTTCAATTAAAACACAGATTTTTAGATGCATGCTTTTTCTCTCCATGAAATACATTTTAATCTTCCAAAAATCATGGACTTAAACTCCATATTGAAGGATGACTTTCCCATTTGTCACACAATTTTTGCCAGACCCTGATCAGACCAATTTCGGGTTGGTTATAGATTGGAAGAAAAGTAGTCAACGTTCAAAGTGAAAGGGTCATTTTTGAATTATAACCATGCAAATATTGCTAATACATGATGTTTTGAGGAACTTTGAAATTTCAGGGCCAAAAACATTCAGAGGGTTAAACAAGTTTCTTTCCCTCTTTATTAAAAGAGTCTGGTTATTAGCTAGTTACTTCGAACTAAAATCACTCACTTCATTAATAGTAACCATTGAAAGCTAACAAGTAGTTCCTTGTTACTTCTCACTCAATGAAAGTGATAAAAAATTTCTATCTCTCGCTAAAATAGGAAATACATATATATACCACTTTGGTTTGTATATGTATATATCTTATCATTACCTTCTCTGTAGTATATTCTGTAGCCAGTAATATTGCCATTTGGTTCTACAGGCCGTTTCCATATAAGATATAATGCACTTGCTCCCATAGGTATTGCTTCAAAGTAAGAAACTGGGCCAGGGGCTAACAAAACAATATAGAGAAAAGTTTCAGAGAAAGCAGGAAATTATGATGACTTACAAAGTAAATGAATATTTATACAAAAAATTATGCACAAAATAAGCAATATTTAAGCATTTCTTAAAAATAAAGTATCAGAAAATACACAAAAAATATTTTACAATACTGTGTCACTACACTGGCATGCAAAAATTTAGTATAAAATGCAGAAATTAATACAACCAGAAAATGAATAGGCTAAACCCATCAAAAGACCAACCAGTATATTACCTTAAGTCTGCTATGATAAGGCATGCATATATACATGAAGCATGACATATGACATAACTTGGGTGTATGGGAATGATGTAATGCACAAAAGCTAGATATGCTTGGTATTTCAACAGAAGCTACTGCACAGTGTATATCGGTTTGAACAACTTCAGTGTAGTATGCCCAACATATGCTCCCATAAACAATATCTGGATGGCTTTACCTGAGACTGAATCACTGAAGAAGTTTGAAGAAGGGTGAAGTATGATTAGCACAATTGAGTGGCTCAGGATCATCATGTCACAAGCTTGGACAGCATTTTGAATGATAACAGCTCTTCAAAAGTTTAGTTGTTGATGTACATAAGCAGTCATGGCAAACATCAATTCTTATCCTATATGTGAAGAGAAATCAATAGGAAGCAATAGGTAAAATCACAAGGTACATGAAACACATTATTGCACACTTGGTGTTACACTTTACTGTGGACTGCAGTAGACTGCAACAGACCATCAGAACAGAGTGTGCTATTTACACCAACCCACCAGATAAGGAATTTTCTGATATGCCAGAAACAAGAATTGTCAAACTCAATACTGGGATCAAGCTGGGAATAGGGATGCTCAACAAGGCCTCTTTACAGATGATAGTAATAGTCTCATTAGTAATTCTAAGTACCAGAGAGGGGAAACGAGCAGTCACCCTTCAACATCTTTGAAAGGCACATTAGGCAGATGAGTATGAGGTGGCTTAATGCATTTTACAAAACTTGACATCTACTACTCACTGATGACCACTACAGTATCTAAATTCTTTTTTCTCATGAGCATCTTTTCTGAGAAATTAAGGACCTCCAGTTTCTCTTCAAAACCAATAATTCTTATATCTCATAATATCAACATAAGCAACTATCATTGAACTGTTTGAGGATGAATACATTCACATTGGCTAGTGTGGTCTCTGAACATAAATGTTATCAAAGATGTGCATGATGCCTGGTTGTTACATAACCAACCACCACCAATGATTCTGCAGCTGTGATCCATGCTACAAATGGGATGGGCTACTACACCCCAAGAAACTGTCAATGACCATAAAGTGCATATCCTGCACTGCCATTAGGGGTAATCATAGTCCTTACCTTCTTGTCTGCTTCCTGCGACATGGACATTTTGTGTTTTCTGCCTTGCTCTGTTCAGAACTCTCGCTTGAATTAATGCTTTTCTTTTATAATTCAGAATTTTTTCTTACAAGGAAAAGTATGGGCTTGCCGATGACAACTGCCACAATACCTGTTCAGGGGTGATGAAACATGCAAACATAAAAATTGCAAAGTGTAACATTTTGAAACCATCTGCAACACAGAACAGAATGTATAAACTATTGCATGCAACTGCAATTGCCACCAACCAGCAAACACACTGCACCTGTCAATTACAATGTCATTGTGTGAAAAAGAACATTCCCAGCAGGTGGCATGCATTTTATTGATTATTGCCTAAATGGTATGGTATAGGGCACAAGAATAATCAACCAATAATAAATTTGTGAAGCAATAAGTATGATTAGTCAAATGGCTTGCTTTTTTTGTCTTGTGATGCAAACAATATTAGTGATGAGGTGATACTGATGTACCCAACAAATGATGCAGTTCTAAATTTAATTGACAAGCATTTTATATAAGAGTTATCTACTCTGATGGAGCTACAAAAATTTTTAGCAACTGCTGCTGGAGAATACAAGAACAGCAATAAAAATGTCACTGCTTTTCAGATGGGTGGTACAGTAGAACACAAAATAGTAAAATATTTGCCAGATTTAGTTTTAAATTTAGTACTAGCATTTAAAAAAAAGCACGCTAAAAAAGCACCTACTTCAAATGTCTATCAAGCATCCATTTTCTTACCTCAAACACTTCTTTCATTCCAGACATAAACTTTACTGTGCGTAACATATGCAATTCCTACTCACCGACATTATCTTACTCATGCATGATGCATGCATGAACTTTGTTCTTTCACCTCATTACCATGCTATGGTGTGACATGCATATGACATCAGAAATTCTGAGATGGGATATGTGATCTAGGTTGAAAACAGATTGCCTCATACCTCAATGACAATGCACTTTCCATCTATGGCTGCAAATACTGCAGGCATATGCACAATTTTATAAACTCCATTCTGGAGGTTGTAGGCAATTGTAAAGCACCACATTCTGTGCCTACTGCTTTGTTTGCCTGCTTGATTATTCCAAAAGGTTTTGTGATGACTGCTGTCAGAAGTCTGACATCTTTCTTTGTTAATGTCCATTCATCTTTCCAATATTCTTACATCTTCAGGATGCCATGATATTGAAAATTAAAATATAAATATAAATTTGAAATACTGCTGCACAACACTGCATAAGAAAAACCTATCCTGTCCTAAATTTGTGCCTAACAGTGTACTTGTTTGTCTATTACAATAAAAAGCAAAACATATAAGATAAGCAATGCACACAATTCTTTACTGAAATATTCTATAATTATGAATATAAAAGATAGGATGAAAATAAACCTAATGAAAGACAGAAAAATATTTTCACTCTATTACAGATAAAAAAACAATATAAACATGAGAACTTTTTCATTAATTTTAGCTTTTCTGTGTTCACATTCTTACAAAACTGGAATTCGTATTTAAAACTGGACATCAGTAATATATCAAGAACTGAATAATGAATGTGAATGATACAACAAAGTTAATTTAAATAACTGAACAAATTAAAGGGCGGAATAAAATTTGGTTTAAATAAATATTCTTACTCCCTTCAGGTGTTACAAAGTCAATGGAGTCAGACGGTGGGCCATTATATACATCATTAAAAGCACAAACTCGTACAATATTCCGCGAATATGGCCTGAAAATATTGACTAGGGCTTCTGTCACATTATGAGGAACTGAAACTTCTCTCAAATGCTCTTCTGTTTCATCTGCAGTCCACGTTTGAATCTATATAAATAAATGATAATAATAATAAACACAATTGAAACAAGAATTCATGCTTCAAAACTGTTCTGCAAATAATTCTTAGAAGTAGGTTCTTTAAAAAATCCTTTCAAAAATCAGGGTTGCCACATAAAGAGCAAAATGAAATTCCCTGACTTTTCCAGGTTTTCCAGGTGTGTTTTGAAAAAATTCCAGTCTATCCGCATAGTGGCATTGGCTGCGCGGAGAGGTAAATTAATTATAGAACCACTTGAAAACACAAAAATTTGCCAATTGCATATGACTTATTATATATATATATAACCCTGAAAGCATTACTATTATAGCTATAATAGGCGTTGTTTTCTCCACTGAAGAATGAGATTAGAATCTGCCCAATCTGGATTAAAAAATGAGTTTTTTTGCAGACATTTTGCAGCTAAACGAAAGAAAAAAATCTGTTTAATGATATTTTTAAATAAATTCAGGTATTTTATATTTATTTAGCAGCATACATAAGCAAAAATATGTGCATTAAATTTCGTGATAGTATGTCATCATATTGCTAGATTTAGTTTCAGAATTATGCCAGCAAAATTTGCCTGAAATTTAAAAGTATTAACTAATAATAAATAAATTTAGAGAAAAGAAGAACATTAAATGATTTAAATAACATTAAAATGAAGTTAATTACTTATATTAAACGTTAGATTAGATGGCTGATTACTATTTTTTAATTTTACTGCAAAATGAAAAATAAGGCATTTATTAAAATGAAAAAAAAAAAAAAAAAAGTTTAAAAGATTTTGTGGTAAAATCCTAGTCTTCGCTATGGCCTTGGTACAATTTTAAAAACTGCCGCCAACACCTGTAGAGTCATTAGGTTCATTGGAAGCAGAAAAGATGGAAAATATGCAACTGCCTTCGCCGGGAATCGAACCTCTGGAATACCGGCCCAGCGTGCTACCATTACACCATGAAGGCTCGCTAGGAAAGTGGGAGAATACTTTATATACTCCCCTTTTTAAAGGGCGACTAGGGTTTTTAGGGGACCTAGTCGCCAAATCCTGGGTGTGGAGAATAATCATCCACAACCCTTTTTTAGTTCGGGCACCACTTGTAGAGTCATTAGGTTAATTAGAAGCAGAAAAGATGAAAAATATGCAACCGCCTTCACCGGGAATCAAACCACGGACCTCTGGAATACCGGCCCAGCGTGCTACCATTACACCATGAGACACGCTAGGAAAGTGGGAGAAATACCTTATGCACCAAAATGACCGGTTTACTGCCCAACACCTTTTTAAACAGAGAGAGAGATAACTGTTACTGCTTATCATAATGCCGCCAAATCGCAATGTGTACCATACGTGGAGGTTAGAATAAAAAAATATGTATTGTTAAGATAAAAAACTTCTCTGCAATAGGAATGGCTCTGTCCCAACGTAGAGTTAAATAGCTGCGTATGCGCTAAATCCCTGTCGCCGAAGCTCGCGAAGTTCGAAGGTCAAGTTTACCGGGAGCACATAAAACAAATATTGATTTAAATTTCGCTAAACTTTAAAGGAAAAGAAAATATTTTTTGCGTCAGTAAATTAATTAATAGATTAGCTATTTTGAGCAAAAAACTACAAAAATACGAGTATAAATTATTGCGAAAGTCAAAGAACATTTCTTCTTAACATACGATCCACAATTTCCTGTACACATCGCAGAGGGAGAAATTCTCGCCGTCAGGTTCCATTGCCTAATTCCTTGGTGAGTTTTTCCCTCTGCTTTCTAGCGGCACTATAGCAAACTGATTTACATAGACATTCTTACATTTGAATAAAGCACATGGGGGCTATTCTAGCCTCCATGATATGGTATATTAGGATTAAAATGATTTTGTTGTATATGAGAATGGGAAGGTATTTTCTTTAGTTCAACATAACCTGCACATGCAAGTCTTAGGATTCTCGAGGTTACTGGAAACCAAACTTGACGGAAACTTGCTTTGCCTTTCTAAAAGACAATCTGATTGGAGCTGCGAAAAATGGCTCGAATGACACTCATCCAATACATAATTCACTAATAAAGTCATAGCTTCCAACATTGGCACAAAACTTGCTTTTGGGGGGATCGCCGTATGACATTCCCTGACTTCTCCGGTCAATTTTCGAATTCCCTGACTTTTTCCGGTTTACCAGGTAGCGTGGCAACCCTGAAAAATGCATATTTATAAAATTTAAAGGGGTTACATGTTAATAAAAATACCTTGTATCCTCTAAAATGTCCAAACAATGAATCTGGCGACACTGGATTCCACATAAAGACAGCTGATTTGGCATCTCGAATACGTACTAGGCGGAAGTTTAAAGGAGCTTCTTTCGGAACTGCAGTGAAAAAACACCGATTAAGTTTAAAAAAATTAAATTAAAAATATGCTGCACCAGTTCTTTCAAATTTTTGTACATCCCTTCTCAATTTTTAAAATGATAACTTATTATCACCTTATAAAATCAAAATTTCTCTGAAGAAAAATGAGAGAAAGAAGATTCTTGAAACATAAAGCAATAAAGAAGTTTTATATAAACACACACAGCATTATAAATAAATAACATGACAATTTCTTTTAAATACACCATGGAAGTCGGTCTGATATTTATACACAAAAAAAAAACAACCTTCCTACGAATGCTAATGTGCCACAGATAGCAAAGAAAAATTTGTAGTCGGTTTCTGATATGGCTATAGGAGCAGTTTTCACAGTTTTTTGGTGGGGGCAATGAGAAGCACTTTTAATTCTGCAAAAGCATGAAATCACAACAATTTTAATTCTGCAAAAGCATGAAATCACAATAACAGCATAGCAAATGACTGAGGATACACACTTGTTTTTGGTCCAGAGATAGTTGTGCACAAATTCACTGATACGGAAATAAAGGGTGGTCCAAAATTATTGAACGCATTTCATGTTTAAAAAAGAAAAGAACAGAATGAGGTACGTGTTTTATTTTTTCTTGGGAAGACAATTTAAAATAGTACACAACAAAATTTTACCCATTAAATAATTTCCACGTGAGCTCTACTAGTGGCATGCAATTCAAACGCGAAATGTGCTCAATAATTTTGGACCAACCTGTACATCATCATGAAGCACTTAGAACAATGATTTCTAGCTTAATGACGTTAACTGCAGAGTTAAGTATCATCCATTTTGCTAACTAAGAAAGGATTTCAACAAAATGCAATGTTATAGCCACCATTCTTGAAATCTTAAAAACCAGAAGGATTCTGCAAGAAACCTGCGAGAAACCAGAAGAGTTTCATCTTTGTGCAGCAATACCATTTCACAGGAAGTCAAAATAAGTTATAATGTTATATAATTCAGTTATAATGCATAAATTATGTAATTCGACTATTTGCAATACAATTCTGATGTAAAATATATTAGTATTTATTTAGTAGCTAGTCTAAATTTTATTTATTTTTTGCTGATTTAAAATTTTCTTATACTTTTATATGGCGAAAATCGTACTTAGTGACAAAAAGCTTTGTTTATCAAAGTATTTTTAAATACGATAAAAATAAGATGAATAATTAATGTACATAGTATTTTGTAAGGATAAACTTGGTAATGTATAATACATTGAAATAAATAAAGCTAAATATGAATACAAGATCATTAAACATCTCTTGAATCTTGATATAAAAATCTACAAATGTCTATAGCAGATTCAAACAATCCATATTAAATGACATTTAATTAAAAAATTAAAAAATATCAATAAAATGTAATAAAAAATATACAATTCCGATTTAGTAACAAAAATTATCCAGAAAATCACTAGAGGTATGAGAATACAAGTTGCCTAATTTAATTTTCTTTATTGCTGGGAAACATTTTCTTTAATAAGGCATGAAAATTAAAACCTGGGAGATTTTGTGATCTACCAAGAGATATGCAATGAAAAACCAGGATATGCAATGTATACATTTGATTCATCAACTTTACAGCAATTTTAAAAAATCTCATTATTCCTTTTTCATGCACACACATATATATATATACAGATTCTTCACAACTGCATACATATGTATATACATGTCTATGTGTGTGCACATATATACACACATACATATGTATACCAGTTGTGAGAAAACTCATAATGCAATTTTGTAGAGATGACACTAGAATCTTCTGAATGTACTGGATTTATTTTGCATCTGTTGTTAATACATCATTTGACAGCTGACAGTTTATTAAGAGTTATTCTTTTTTGGATATACTTCAATAGAGTTTCTCATTGAAAACTGCTATGGTATTTCAAGTAACTTCAAGAAATGACTTTTGGTTGCCCAGTTCGATCCAAAACCTAATTAACTATTTATACGAATGCAGAAAGCTTAAATACAGAAAGTTTTTAGAGTTTCAATTAAGAACTATCGTGAATGAAAAAAACTGCATGCATATACAGACAGACAAACATCATTGTATAAGCAGTAAAAACATATTGTGGGAATTCTATTTTGTGCTTATTCACTGAAAACTCACAACTCAAATTTTGGATTGAAACTATCACCTCCTTTACTTATGTAAATAGGTTGGTGGGAGATGAAAATAGCGAGTGCTCTTTTTCCATTTAGCAGAGCTGCTAAGTTCATGGGTTAGAAATATGTTGTCAATTTGTCCCACAGATAGTAGCACTTGTCAAACTCATAATGTAATTATAGCTCGTAAATGAACATGCACTATCTATATGAACCAAAATCATGTGGTAGAGCAGACAGTGATGTAGTAAAGGAAGGCTGGTGGGCCCACAAAATTTGTAAATAAAAGTATATTTTTGCAAAGCAGCATTCCTTATTCACCTAATGCAACGCACTGCACAGGGTATGCGCAGACCTGTAATAGTTCTTTCATATATCGTGGCAGTGATTGTCACACATACACATTTATTGGGCTCAAAGTCTAGCTAGAGTAAGCAAGTCTTTATGGGCTTAAGTAAAGTACCATTTCCAATAATCCAATTTTACCCAAATCAATACTTTTTATAAACTTAGAAAGCTAAATACAGAAAATGGGAGTTTTGGGAGGTACTTATATAAGTTATTTTGTTCACAGTAACTTATACACAGACATCATTCTAAAATAATAAAAATGTGTTGCGAGACCCTAAATTCCTGCTTATTCACCAAAAACTCACTATCAAATTTTTGGACAGAAAACGTATCTATATATACACACTGGCAGGAGGTTAAAAAATATTATGTGATTTGGTTAGTTTTGGGTATATAACAACAGGTTCAAAGACAACTTTTACATATTTTGAATTTTTTACATATTTTGTTTTACTTCCATAGCAAGAAGAATTCATGAAATATCACATAAAATTAAAGTCGATAACGCTCTACAAGAATGTTTACATGGCCCATAAAATTCAATCATCATTTTAATCTTTTCCGCCTCACATTTCTTCAAGTTTTTGCTGATAGACATAGCTATAAATTAGAAAGTATGAAACTTTCTGAAAGACAGTAAAAGTTAACTAAAAAAAAAATGGACAAAATATTATGGATTACGTGGACATTGTTGACAAGTACCGGAGAAGCTCTGAACTAATGACGTAGGTGCTATGTTTGGCATTTGTAAAATAAATAAACATATCATGGATTGATCTTTCTTCTTTATATCAATATATGCAAAATATAGAAAAATACATCCCAACTTTCCCACAACACAATGCAATTACTGACAAATGACTGCAAATATGACAGCATAATGTAGTTATAATTAAATTATGCATACTTTACAACAGCTTGTAGCTCCATCTAACATTACTTTGCACTAGGTGAGAAAGTGGAACAGAAGATGCAGGGAGGGTGATGGTTCAAAATTTTACCAACAGGGGATCACACTGCTGGCTGAATGCAAGAGTGACACAACTAAAAAATTCTGGAACATTACTTCTTGCCATAAATGTGTCTGAAATTATGCAAATATTTTAACCTTCTCCACAGTAAATTCACACACTGAAAGTATTCCTGCTGTCATCCAGACTACAATCTCAAAAAGTGGCATGATGGTTAGTTTTATGAAGACAAAGGGTTAAATCCAAAAAAATATTGCGACCAATAAATTAAGAAAATAACAAAGAGTGTTTGAGAATTAAAGATTTTGATTGAGAGTTTAATTAAAATTCTCAACATGGCAATTACAGGACTTGAATAATGAAATTCTACAACTGAATAGAAAATTACTTCTATCCATAAAACTACTGAGAATGTATTAGCACAAAAAACTTAACAACTTACAGTGAAAGAAGAGTTTAATAAAACAAATATTGAACTTTCTTTATAAATTTTGATTCTCAGAAAGTTGTAATGCAGAATTATTACTTTTGCTGAAGAGCAAAAAAAATGATCCCAGGCAATGCCTGGCCAGGGATTTGAACTCGGAACCTTTTGACTGCTCAGCAGACATGTTTTTAATTGCACCACAAAAGCACACAGTAAGGTGAGAGAAAAATGCCCTACAATCAATGTATCATTTTTTTCTAAACAACTATTTCACATTTTTAATTTTATCATTTCTTCATGTCATCTTACTAGATTAAATGCAGATGATCAAAAATTCAGAATTGTGGAAGTCCCAACAGTTCCGGATCTAGGAATGTAGTGTATTTCAATGACTGATTTTTAGAATTAGCGCATGATGGTAGGCAAAGCAATTAGATCTCTCTTTCTCTCGATATATTGCGTTGGTAGGTGTCATTATTATATGCGTCTACAAAAAAAGGGGGGAAGTGTTTTTATTAAATTTAAAAAAATTGGAAGTTTTATAATTAAATCACATTTTTTTATTTTCTTTTCTATTAACTTATTAAACAGTTACCATGCACTGAAGATTTTCAACTAAAACCTCTAATTAGATAATATTACACATAAAACAAAATTTTCCATATAAATTAATATAGTAATTAATAATTAGAGATAATATGAAATTTATTGAGTCACCTGAAAAGTTCTATGGCTCTTTCATAAATACAAATGAAGAACTACAAAAATATATGAAAAATTTCATTCAGTCACATTACCACTATTTTGTTAACATGATGTTATGAATTTTTCTGGCAGGTAAAACAGTTCTTTCTTAACCAAATCATTAGATGCACTCATATAGAAGTCATTGATGTGCTGTTTGACAGTCTCCAAAGAGTTGAACTGACAGAGGCTGTTCAGGGGATTTTGAAGTGACAAGATGAAATAAACATCCAACTGGGCTAGGTCTGCTGAACATGGGGTATAACACTAAACATCCCAGCTATATTCAACAAGCCTTTGTCTCATATGCATTGAAATGTGAAGCTAAGCATTGTCATGATCAAAGGCAACATGTCGGTGATATGTCATCTAAGGGATTCTGCCTTAGATTTCTGTTTGTAAAACTGCCATTTGGTAACATTATTTTTTCAAATTTATAGTCTGATTTGGTGGCAACAATTCATAACAAACAGTCCCCATATAGTATCACCATGCATAAAGCATTACATTTTTGAGATGCAGCTCCCATCTCCATGTTACTAAAGGAATTTCATTTGGCTTAACTAATGACCTATTTCTTGTTACAATGCCTATAGTACTCATTTCGTATAATGAGCCATTTCAAAACAGCAGCTACCTTATTTTGTTTTAGCACACTATCAGATGCTGAAATTCTAGCAAGCATATTCTGTTCTGCTACAGCACTGGGTACACATTAATCATAGGCTTAAATCCCAATCTTCTTCAAATGACCATGTAATGCACTTTTGAGACTGTCTAGTAGTTTTTGAGCAGTAAAATATGAATATTCAAAGATAGCTTTTTGTAACAGATCCCTGTTTACAGAGGATGGTTGTCCAGAGTATGCATGTTCTTCAAGGCTGAAATTTCTGCACTTTAAACTTTTCAAACAACCTTCAAACTGTGCCATTAAAAACAGCATAAATTTTACAGCAGTAGCCTTTTTTTAAAAAAATAAAAGAGCATAATATGATGAAAATGAAATTTAGGATTCATTATTTTCAGCAATGAACTGAACAAATATTATGGCAGAATATGTTTATAAACCAAATCCCTAAGTAACGCAAGCAGGGACTGTATTTACATATCTGCTTCATACAAGGTCACTCCTTATCAGAAATAATGAGAAAAAAGCATGCCTTACTTTGAAGAATTTAAGAACTTTTCAGGTGACCCAATACATTCTTTTTTAATTAATTGATAGCATAAAAACAATAAAATATACTTTTGCCAGTTTCCTGGCATTAGTAAGTTGCAAAGTAACTTAATAAAACAATCAGGATAAATATAACCATAGGAATGGCACTTATATCAGCAGCCTACATAACTTGCTCAAAACCCTTTATCAAATTATGCCTGCATTACCACACCACCACTTGCATTCAGAGCTTTTAATAAAAGAAAAGTTTTGCTGCCTTCTCAACCATTACGAGTTTTTCAATTTGTTGCATACAATTTCAAAAGTAGAAAACTTTTACTGACTGCTAGCTTTTGCTGTGTTTACAGTTTCAGTGTGAACTCCAGTTATTTATACCTTAAGCATTCTTTTAAGAAGAGCTATTGATTTCCACCACTAAGAGCAGCTGCTGACTAAAATGACACATTTTCAAAAAACCTTCTGCAGCTCAATATAATGCTGAACAAAATAGCAGCTACACATTTTCTTTTATTGATTCCAATGTCTTACTTTTCACTTGGCAGTAAGGCTTATATTTTTGCGATAAATTATATGCTTAAAAGTGAATTTACAAAAATGCTTCGTTATATTATAATTTTAAAATTCTATGCATGCTTTATCAAGGTTTTTATACTGTATTCAAGGTCTTTCCAAACTTTAATAACTTGAACAATGCTGCAATTATGCTTCTGGATTTTATCTATAGTGATTCAAATTAGTTTCTAATAAAACAAGCAAAGTTCTATATTTCATCTGACCATCCTAAACTTTCGACTAATTGTCAAGTCTTGTCTACTGCACCTTGATTCTCTTCTGCAATTAGCATTAAAAATCTGCCAGTACTTTACACAGATTTCAAGGGAATAGAGTATTCAGTTCCAATGTATATTAAATGGCATATTAAACCAGTACTTTTAAACCTTCATGCACATATCTGCAGATCAGAAGCACGAAGTACTAATAATATGAAAATGTGTGCCTTTAAAATTCAAGTTACTTCTTTTCTACTTGCATACAATAGCAAAAAGCACAATATGCTGCAAATAAAACCTAAGATACAACTTCAAATAAGCATTAAAGGATTTAAAGTATAAGTAAAACACCGCACACACACATACACTTCAAAATGAAAATTGTCACAAGTAAAATAAAAGGTATGACTAATAGCTTTACATAATGCATCTTAATTACTCCATCCCATGCAAACAAGGAATAAATTATTACAATTAATTACAGCATTTTTTAATATCTGCTTGTAATGGATATATTTTACGAGTTTTCTAAAAGCCTCAGGGATCCTAACTCAAATACAAAAATCACAATTTTCCTCTCTGAAAACAAATTTGACAAAATACCTGCTCACATTGACTATCTCAGCACTCATTATATACATAAACACATACCCAAGCTCAGTGGAGATCCAGACAGCCAACACTTTTTAGCGTATTAACATATTTTCTTTCCTATCCTTACAAACTGAAACTAACTATCCTGTGTGTAAACATATAACTTTTGCCAGAGATTAATTAATGAAACAAAATTTTCTTCAAAATAAGGTAAAACTTTGCTTTAAGAACTGGAACTCAAATTATACATTTCAATATTTCCATAAAATAGAGCTCATAAAAATTCAGCAAATAAAACAAATCATAAAAATTTAACAAATCAAATAAATCAAATAAATTGCAAACAGATAGTCCTTTCTGAATGCAGTTATATCATAGAAAAGACTAAATAACATTGCAAAACTTGCCATCTTCTCCAGAATAACCAATGACTTCAGAAGCTGGAACGGAAGCTTGACCACGACGATTGTGAGCCTCTACTTTAATTCGATACCTCTTGAATGTCGGTTGATAATTAATAACCAATTGATTTTTTCTCCAGTCTGTTAGCTTTTCATGTTTCCATACAGATCGAGGATCATCATCTCTTTTCCAAAATACCTTGTAGAAAAACTCTGGTGCATTATGCTCTATCAGAGGCATTGGCTAAAAGTAATACCTTATTTTCAAATATTTCATATGAAATACAATGTATTTATAATATTTTAACAAAAGACAGTTCTAAGAAAGTAAGTAAGTTAAAAGGAATTAAAAAGGAACCATATAAGAAATATTAAGCATAAAATGTTTGCAACTGACATACATCAAACTTTATAGGCCCGAGCTGCTTTTAGGTTGCTTGGCTAATCAACATAAAGCACCAAAGAGTTTAAATAGTTAAACTAAGATTGACTGCTTATCATGACATCCTGCCGACACAATATACAGTGACACTGCAAAGACCTTATTTTACTCTAACCAATTATATTTAGTTTGACTTTCCTCTTCCTCCTGCTTCGTTTCCTGTCGGAATGTAAATTTTAATGACGTAGAATGCAAAATCTAAGTGTGTTCAAAAGCAGTATCAAAGCTGAGGTTTCAAGAGTTGAGGAGCAGTAGCAGAATTAGTTTTGAGTTTATGCTGCCTGTTTGAAATAGCTCTCTAGTTGGTGTCAGTTACCCTTTTCAGATTATATCATATTCTAGGCTCGGCTTTGCTGTGTGCACCTGATTTAGTGGTTTAGATAAATAAGGAACCAGTCGTTTTGCCATCCTAATTTATAGTAATTTTACATTTTTTATTTTATGTTCAATTTATTAACCACAAGTGGTGGTGAATTATGAGCACCGAGTGAGTGCAGCTTGTTATGTTAGTTCAAATAAAAAGGTTATTTAGACCTTCTTCTGTAGTATCTGTTCTTCAAGACAGCGCAAATTCGCTATGCAGTCTTTTCACATAGAACCTACTGTGATTACACCCGAAAAGAACACAGACTCCATAACTGGTGCCTGAAACAGTTTAGAACCATGGAAAACTCTACGGTTATAGCCTAACACCATCCACTTCCATAGCATCTGTGATTCAAGCTAACCCTACAGAAGGATTTGGCTATATATAGTTGACACCATCAGAGCTTCAAAGAGGCACCAATGCCTATTTCATGGAAAAGGTTCAGCAGCAGCATTTATGGATCAGCTAGATGATCACTTCATCTTGTAGTTGGTGGTAAAATCCGAAAGTCCCAATTTCAACTTACGGAAAGTTCATGCAGACTAATAAAAACTTAACAAAATATCCAGTAAATTCACTACCAATTCAGTTGTGAAGTTGAACCTCTACCTGATTATTATCTTTATTTTGATGTAATTTAGTAAATCGCCATTGGCAACAGTTGAGTTTTTACATCTATGTTTTCGAGTTTGTTCTATTATTTACTTTCGTTTTAAGCAATGAGAAAAATTACTTTTTGAGATGTTTTTCATGAGTATTTAAAAACTGATGAGTAATATTTTATGCCATTTATATTCTGAGTATTGCTTTGAGGTGTCAAAGCTAAAACTAACACTTAATTAGACTTGTAAATAGAATTGTAATATTAAACTGTTTGTGTTGTGACGAGATGTCTTTCATTGGATAATTGATTGCATACTCATTTTCCATCATAATTCTTCTGATATCGAAGGTAAAACGGGATATCTGGCGTCCAAGAGACAGGACTACGGCTGCATTTTTAAGAGTGAGTGAAAGTGAAAAAATATTTTATATTTTCTTTTATTCTTTGTGCATTATGGGTATTGTTTTGAAAGATAGAAAGCAACTTAGGAGGTTGTTTACTCGAGCATGTAATACTTTTGATGAGGAAGAAATCAAATTAAATTGTGCTGATAAAATTAATAAATTAAAGCTAATTGAAGAGAAAGCTTTATTAATGATTGCACGTGAAGAGAAATACAAACATTTGTTGTATTCTGAAAATACTTCCAATACCGAAATAGAGAAAGCGGTAGATGAGTCAGAAATGTATATTGATCGATAGAGATCTTTAAAACAGAAGCTAGAAACATTAGTGAGTAAACAATTATCTTCTAAAAATGAAAATTTGAACATTGTTTCGCAGCCGAACACTTTATTACGTTACGCCAAAAATACAAATTACCTACTTTTGACGGTAGTGTAAGAAATTGGCTATACTTTTGGGGTCAGTTTAAAAAAATTGATGAGGACATTAATATCGATTTTCACGATAAATTTTCGTATTTATCTCAAGCAATGGAAAAAGGCAGTCCTGCTGCAGAATTAATTAAGAGCTATCCCCCAGGGGGTAATAGTTATGAAAAAGCTTTAAAACAGCTGAAAATGCATTTTGGCAGAGAGGAACTATTGATTCAGGTATATGTCAGAGACTTATTAGTATTAGTTCTTCAAAAACAGAACACTTCTAAAAATTCATTAAGAAAATTGTTCGATCAACTTGAGAGTAAACTGCGATCACTTGAATTATTAGGTGTTACTAAGGAAAAATATCCTGCAATGCTTTTTCCACTAGTTGAATCATCATTACCCGAAGAAACTCTTGTTGCTTGGCAGCACTATAGATCTGCTCATCGTAGAATTCAAGAAATGAATTTAGATGATTCAGACGAAAGTAAAACTATAATTGAGAAGTGATTTAGAATGCATTTTAGAATTTTTACAAGCCGAAGTTGAAGCTGAAGAACGCATTTTTTTTTAGCCTCTCAAAGTTTCAACACATTGAAACCAAAACCAGAAGTAAAACATAATCTTTCCTATGAGAACAAGGTAATAGAGAACAAATGTAAAAGTAGAAAGTTTTCAAATATAACTAGTGCAACAGACCTTCTAACTTCATCTCAAGTATCAAAACAGTGCATATTCTGTTCTAATTCACATTTTTCTGGAGACTGTCTAAAAGTAAAAAAAAATACCTTTAAGACAGAGGGAGTCACTGGTTCAACAATTTCACAAGTGTTTTTTATGTTTGAAATCTGGACATTCAGTCAAGGATTGTAACTTGAAAGCTGGTTGCTTGTGTTGTGGTAAAAAAACACCATATTCTTCTGTGTAGAAAGATGCACCAAATAACTATGTCAAAAAACGAAGAATCACTTGAAGTTGAAAAGAAAACTGAGATTAGTGCTGAAGTGGATCAAGCTCTTTCAAATTTATCTTCTACTCCTGACGTAATGCTTCAAACATTCAAAGTTATAATTAGAAGTAATGGGGAAAAAACGCATCGCAAGAGCTATTATCGATACTGCTTCACAGCGATCATATTTATTAAGAAGTACAGCTAAAGAAAGGAACTATGAACCTCAGAGTTGTCAATATTTACAACACTCTTTATTTGGAGGGAAGGACTCAGGGATATGCAAGCATGATGTATACACTTTATATTTATCGAGTGTGCATGGGAATTATAATTGCAACTTTTAAATAAATAAGAGCGTAGTTTCTTCTGTAACTAAATGTTTAGTTTCTGCATGCTTGGTTACCAAGAGAGACTGGCATTACAGATATTTTTCCCAATACAAAAGGATAGTTAATCCAATTGCCTGGATCCTAAGATTCACCTCCAATTGTCGAACTGAAAAAACAGTGAGAAAGCATGGAAACCTTGATTCTGATGAAATTTTTGAGGATGAGAAGTTATTGATCAAAATGGTTCAAGAAGATTGTTTTGTGAATGAAAAGGATGAGAAATTACGAACTTTAGGAGTATTCAAGGATCAAAGTGGAATCCTCAGACTAAAAACTAAACTTACCTTTCGTTCTTAGTCAACAAATTATTCGTAAAGTTCTTAGTCAACAAATTATTCGTAAGTCAGTGCCACCTACTGTCAACAAGCTTCGTCTGAAAGAGTTAGCAGCCTGTAATATAAATATTGTGGATGATTGTCAAAATCCTATTGAGATTCTTATTGGGGCTGATGTAGCTGGAAAACTCATGACAGGCGGTCGTCGTGAGTTGCCTTGTGGTCTCGTAGCTATTGAGACCAAATTTAGATGGTCAGTTATGGGACGAATGCTGAATACTTCGAAAAGTGAGTTTTCATCATCGTTCTTAGTTACATCCTTGTTATCTACTGTGGAGACCATAACAGATCTATGGACTTTGGACACACTTGGGATCACTGACCCATCAGTCAAGAAAAACCAGACTGAACTACAAGAAGCTGCTTAGTTACATTTTCTAAATACAGTTCGTATAGTCGATGATCGTTTCGAGGTTGATTTGCCCTGGTTGGAATATCATCCACCACTAACAGACTATTTTGACTTAGCCGAGAGAAGACTGAACAAAACTGTTAAACATCTTAAAATCGAGTCCAATTATGAAGCTTATGGAGATGTTTTCAAGGAATGGCTAGAAGAGGGAGTAATTGAAGAGGCTGATAAAAATTATCAAGGGCAAGTTCTTTACCTTCCTCATGGAGATGTTATCAAAAAGAATAGCACTACAAAACTCTGACCGGTATTTGATGCTTCGGCCAAAGTAAAGGGATTTCCTAGTCTTAATGACTGCTTAGAAAAAGATCTAATAGAACAGCTTCTGAGTATTTTAACACGCTTTCGAAAAGAAAAGATTGGTGTTATTGCTGATATACGAAGAGCCTTTCTCCAAATAAGTGTTTCACCTACCAATAGAGACTTTTTGTGGTTCTTATGGCTTGATAGTGATCGTCAACTGAAAGTGTACAGGCACTGCCGTGTAGTTTTTGATGTAGCAAGTAGCCCTTTTCTTCTAAACTCTACTATTCAGCTTCACCTGCAAACTGTTTTAGAGAAAATAGAAACCGGTGAATCTTATATACGAAAGGTGTCATTAAAAAACTTATGCATAGTTTTTATGTTGACAATTGTGTCAGTTGTGTTAAAAATGAAGAAGAACTCAATCATTTTATTAGTGTATCAACTGAGGTAACGGCTGAGAGAAAATTTGAGCTTAGAAGGTGGGAGTTCAATGATATTAATGCTGATGCTTCTGCTGATACAAATGTGCTCGATTTAACATGGAATAAAAAATTTGATACTCTAAGAATAAATACTGGTAGTATAAAAGAGTTATGTTTTGAAAAAGTTACTAAGCGCTTAATCTTATCTACAGCTCATAGATTGTTTGATCCTCTTGGTATGTGCTGTCCTG